ACACCCAGTGTCCATGAGAAACTTGATCTTCTTCTTGAGGATGACTGGTTGAACCATGCATTTGCATACACCTTGATTGATGATCCGCTTGCTGTGTGCAGCATCGAGTTCACGCTCAACGATGGAATCCTCACCGTCGTAGAAGGAGACTTCTTCCACCCGAGACGTTCCTGGGATTCGTACGAATGAAACTCGATCTCCGCATTGATCATCATCGTCGTCAACCATGTCTCTCATAATCTGTGCCCTCAATCTCGCTTTGTGCTTGGCGAATTCCAAATTCACGGCGCGATCCTCATCGTTGACAAGCGCTTCCATGTCGACGTACTTCACCTTCCGCTCTTTGTCCTTCTTCGATCTTCTAGGACACGAAGAAATGAACTTCACGTCATCGGCGAATGTCACATTACGCTTTATCTCTTTTCGGGTCGACGTAGTCGGTCCCGAGGATTCGTCGTCTGTTGAACAATCCGAATCAGCGTCGCTGTCAACGGATGGACAATCTGACTCCTCCTCATCTTGTCTTGAAGATCGCTTCCATATCGCCGGGGCTGATGGATTCCACCTTCGGCACAATCTGATGGCGGGTGCCGCAGGGAGCGCCTTGGCCTTGGCATTCGGCTTCGCTGGAGCTGCCTTTGCTTCGGATTTGGCTTTAGCTTTTGCCTTTGGTTCCGGAGCTGGGGTAGCTGCTGCCTCATGCTTGAAAGGACAATTCTCTCTTGAGCACGAGCCTGTGTTCTTGAACGAGTAGCATATCCTGTTTCCTCCTCCTCCAGATGGACTTGGAGTTCTCGTCCTCGGCGTAAAGGGTCGCTCTGGAGTCTTCTTCGAGTGACTGAATGGGCACTTGTCACCATTTCGACACCCTGCATCTGTGAAATGGAACTTGCAGCGGATTTGCTTCTTGCTCTTGTCGCCTCTGTTGTCCGCTGACTCACTCCTCGTCTTCTTCTTGGGCTTTGGCTTGGTCTTCGCATGACTCTTCGCTTTGCTTTGAGGTAGTACAGGTGTTGCTTTATCCGGCTTGGTCGGCGAAGCCTTGACCTTTGCGGATGGAGCTGCGTTAGGCGTTGGTTTCTCAGGTACCTTGGCCGGTGCAGCAAGCAAATCCTTGCCCTCAAGCATCTGGCGCAAGCCAATTTGGGTCTGAGTGAGATTTGATTGTTCTCGTCTCCGCATGATGGTACGGTCAATGATCTTCATCAGATTGTCGTACGATCGGTCTTCATGATTGTAGGGCAAGTGTTCGTAGTGCATGCCCAACTCCATCTTCATTGCGGGCGAGTCCTTGATCTTGCTGTACAAGCAATCACGGAGAGCTGTTTTGGATGGTATGTCTTCTGGCCTCATCCGTCCCAGAACTTCCAACCACGTCTGCTTGAACGTATGAAGCTTGTTGTCGCCTTGGTACTGGAGCTTCACCAGATACTCGAGAGTGATGATCATGTCGAGACGATCATGCGTTCGAAAACTTTCATACATCATCGCAATGATTTGTCGTCCTTTGATGATCTTCCCTTCGGGCCTGCTGATGTAATCGTTGGCCTTCCGGTTCACCTCCAGGTACAGATCAGCAGATTTGTCACCACCAGCGCGTAGCATTGCGACCATTGCGATCCCCAATTTGACGTCTACGCTCTTGAACTTCTTGTGTCCTGAATCGTTCAGTGCTTCGACATCAGGGAATGGGTTGAATGCTGGTGCCAGCCATAACATCCAGTCCTCATGATTTGGATCGGCTGATGCTCCTAAGACATTCGCCGTGCATACGGATCGCCAGTTGTTGAGGTGAGTGAGAGTAGGCCATGGAGGAACGGTCACTTTGTCGGCCTCCCTCCTGGAAATTCTCACCTCCGTGACTTCAGGATCTGCGTCACCATCAGGATCACGCGCATGAGAGCCGGGATCCGATTCAGGTTTGCCTCCACCGCTTCTCTTCTTATCATCATCATCATCATCAGGCGGGTCTGGAGGATCATACCCCGTGCCGGTTCCTTCATCATGCTCTCCATCTTCATTCTCGTCGCCAGCTTCGTCACCGTCATCGTCTCCATTATCCTCCTGAATCGTTTCAGCGAATAATCTCCACTCATCACGATCAGCTCTGAGACGCTGTTCGGCTTTCTGGGCCTTGAGTACTTCGCTTCGCAGATCGGCAATCTTCTCCTCGTACCGTTCCGCGACCTCTTTCTCGATCTGACGTCTCCTTGCTTCATGAATGGAATCGTCATAGGCAATAGGGGGACCGATGAGGTCGTTGCCCTTCGTAGATGCGGTGATGCCGTCGACACCAACAGGTCTTGAGGAGCTGGCAGATGCTGTGGACTTCGATCCCAACATCCCGCGATCCTCCAAGAGTTCGCGTAGCTGTCGATCACGCACGGCTGCCGCATCACTTTTCCCATGAAATCCGCTTGGTATGCCAAACAAAGTGGCTGCACTAGGCGTGGAACGCGCAAGTGCTGGGCTGCTAATACCTGGCACGTAGTGCTCGGGCATTGCATCCGCCACGATTGGCATTGAATTGCGGCCAGTGAAGAAGTTTCCACCGGTAAATGGAATTCCATCCATCACAAGGTTCTTGTCCTTGTCCGATTCCGAGAATGCGAACTTCTCTTTGGCGACTGGACTAACTTGACTTGGGGACCGTATTTCAGGGGATCGTACCTCACCTCCTACGGAAAATGCAGGCACTACTTCCTTTCCTACGTGCTCCCAGCCAGACTCAGTAGTCCTCGAAGACATGGGCATGCTTGAAGGCCGTGTCGCTCCTCCATAGTTGGAGTTCCGCGCTGCCTCCAATTCGCTGCGTGTCCTCGCTTGAAGATCTTCTTGTGCTTTGAGCGTTTTCCTGAGTTCACTCAGCTCGTCGTGCAAGGTAGGCAATGCTCGCCTTGCATGATCTTCATTCTGATGAAGTCGATCCTCTGCATCTTGCATCCTCCTCACAGCCATTTTGCGGTACTCTTCCTCTTCACCAAGACGTTCGCGAAGCCGAAGTCGTTCTTGATCAATGGCTGCGCTGTTTCCAGCTAGCCCTTGGATCTCGTTCACGGCCCGCAACTCCTGGTTCTTGACCAAGTGGAATCGTTCCTGCATTGCTTGTAAGGCTTGTTCCGAACTTGCTGTGTTCGACCGGAGGAACAAGTTCTCTCTGGCATGTTCATGAAGTTCATGAGTCAGACGCTCATACTCACGTGCCATAAGCTCACCATCGCCTTGCGCTCTTGCCTCCAACTGCACAAAGTTAGTGGCTGCCTCCGTGCGGAACACGTGTAGCTGTTGAGCTAACTCCTCGGCAACGGCATGTGCTTGACGTTGTTGAGCAGAGTTCTGTTCATCCATGCGAAACAAAGCTGTTTCATAGTCTCGCTTCATCTCCTGATTGACATTGTTGATGTGCCTCATGGCTAAGCATGCATGGTCACGTTGTCGTTCCAATTCTTCGATGCGAATTCCAGATCCTTCATCTTCTTGTTGCATCTCCTTGATCTTGTCCATCAGGGTCTGGACGACTCCTTCGTACTCTTGCATCTGACTGCGATAGTACATCTGCTGCGCAAGGTTCGATGCTTCGAACTGTTGCGAAATCGTCAGCTCCTGATAAGCATTCGGACCATCGGCTATGGCTGGCGTGGCCACCGATGACGCATCACCACGTGCTGGGATAGTGTCCAGAGTCATATCCAGATCGTCAGCATCGCGTGGTTGGTTGGTAACCATCCGATTCCAAGTCATGGACTTGTCACGCCCACGAGTAACCGAAGTCCTTGATCGTGCTGAAGAGCTTCTCGAAGATGATGGTCTTGACTTCTTTTCCAAGGTCTTCACTCCTTTGTCCTTGGCCCTGGACGTAGTCCGAGGTGCCTGAAAACCAGACGCTTCGGCTCGTCGTTCGGGAGCCTTGCCCGTCCTCGAACCTGTGGATGTCGGACGCGAAGGCGTAGATGCTCTTGGTAGACTCTTTGCTTTCACCTTGGGAACTGCCTTTGCAATGGCAAGCGCAGAAGATTGACCTTTGTCATCTTCCGTGGAGCTATCAACGGATTGCACCACTGTGTCATCAGCTGTTGATTCACCAACGGCTGGCGCTGCCACATCGGCACCGAAAGTCATTGTCGTATCTTGGCTTGATCCCGAGTTCATTGTGGTCGTAGTAGATCAAGTAGTCGTTGCTGTAGAAAGGCAGAGCCGCGTACGGCTGATAACCTGCGTGGGGGATTGATCTCGACTAGGTTGCTGCTCTCCCCACCAGAGCTGTAATGAATGTAGGTGTGGCTGGCTTGCACTCTCCACAGACTGGACCCTGTCTCTCTCACACTTCCACACGTGCAATCCTATGCAGGCAGAACCGGCGGCCGTTCCTTTTGCACTCACTGCCGGCGGCGGTTCGTCTGTGCAACGGGATAGCTCTGATTGCTCAGGATAGAAGACACTTATAGCACTTAGCTATGGGCATTGACTTGAGCCAAACGTTGCGTGGGCGGTCACATAGAAAGGTAAAGACGAGGGACGCGTAGCGTGCCCCCTTAGAGTCGAGGGACGCGTAGCGTGCCCCCTTCTCTTCCACTTTGCACGGTCTTGCTCACAGCTCTTATAGTGACACCTTAGAACTTGACAAGGCATCGCGGTCCGTTCGCATATAGCTTAACCGCTATTATGTATCAAGACTAATCACACAAACTGATGTTGTTCGCAGTAGCTGAGTAGTAGTTGCAGTCGCCGAGATTGTGTTCCTTAGCATGCGGCAAGGACGGGCATTCTGCAATTACGAGACTCCTAGTAGCTACTTCAGAATCACAGGGACGCTGCTGAAGTAACCCTATCTGACATCATGTCGCGTTCGTCCCAGCTGGCTCGAGAGTGGACGTTCACGTGCCTGAAGACATCGCTTTAACTAATTAAACGGCCTGCACACTGCTAGAGGTCTTGAGCCTCAGGAGCTGTTGCTTCGCTTGCTTCGGATAGGGATTCGGGCTTCGTTGCCATTTGCAACCATGTCTGGTGGGATGTCGGTGGACTTTGTGCTGGACACCGCTGCTATCTCGTTCGCGGTGTTTTTCATGACCTCGCCGCTGTCACAGCAGCTGGGCCGATGAAGCATGCGTATTATATATATATATATATATATATATATGTAACTAGACTGTACTTGCGCTGCCTTCTTTCGGTTGAATTGTTTGTTTTCGCTCTAGGCTCCTAACCATGAACGTATTTCATGGTGCCAATATTCTATCTGCATGGGACCGCTCAAACTTTGGTCATGTGCTTCCCTCATTGGATTTATTCATACCTTTCAATGGTGATGTCGGGCCTTTCTATCATTCCCTTTACTACGTGCTGCTTAGTGGGCTTGTGGAATGTGTTTCTGATTCCGTTGCCAGCATTACTATATTGCAATCGCCAGCCGCATGTGTTTTATTAGCTTTGTTGTTGCAAATTTTGCCATCATAGTTTTCTGCCGCATCTATACCTGACAGGATTTCAGTTGTGAGTGAGTGTATTGGTGTGCGCAGGTCCGTTCCTCAAAAACTGCTTAGTATTGCTTAGTATTGCAACTGGGGTGTCCCTTCGGTCATTGTCAGTCATATCAGAAGTGTTGCAGTCGTATACGGTATACTTGCGAGGTTTATTCACCAAGGTGTACCGATACAATAGCCTCAGGCCTCTTGCATATTCTCTATAGCTACGGGTTTAGGGTTTAGTGTGTTAGTATTGCGGCGTGAACAGATACTCTCATTATTCCCCCCAGTTTCTTGCCATAAACTCAGTACAATCTAGTCCAGTTATCAGCCCCTAGAAACCCATTGAACGCTATAAATCAATCATGGAATCGTTTAGTGAACCCTTCAAACGGAAGGAACCTTACTCCAACTGTTAAGGCCCATATATGAGTGCCTCCTAATGCTTGCCATGATCACTGCGGCAGATTTGCCTTTCTTACACCCCCCGGGCCCCGGCAAAGAGCCCGGTACTACAGGCGCCTTCACCAACCCGGTGTCTATGGAGTTAATTACAATCATAAACCCAGGAATAACATGGGCGAATATTCAGGCTTGAGATAGGACTATGCACGATGCTAACAGGCAAGCAAGCCTTAAAAGCCTATCGGCCTATCGGCGTTACGTGGGAGTGTGGGGTTGGGATGAGCACACGAAAAGTTGCATGATTTCATGACTGCCCTTGCTTCCCGTGAGGTAGAGATTACACGTGATGGGTTTAGGGCGTATAGGGTTTAATAGGGTGTTTGGGATATGACTTCAAAAAGAGAGCCAGGACCTAATCCTGAGCCCTGAAAGTGCAGGACCATCGACGTCTTCTCAACGCCGGCGAAAGTCCGCTACGTCAATCCGGTGAACCTGCTGTGCTCCTTTCGTTGCACCTACCCCCCCGACCGTCCTAAGCCCCAACCCCCAAATCCCACGCCAAGCACACCCAAACCACCCAGAACACAATACATTCATTGATACACCTCCTCTAAAATAGGGTTGCTTCCAGATTTAGGATGCAGGGTGTATAGCAAAGACCGTATGCAGGTTGCTCCATATCCTTGCATCAAAGTCTTCACCCAGCCAAAACCCTGGTCGAACTATGGAGGCCTCCTAGGCTCCATCACACTGCGTAGTAGCTGAGTAGGTAACCGTTAACCTTTTGGGGCTTATATAAGTCCTACCATAATTAAAGGTTGACCTTGTTTGGGCCATGGTATTCAGCCCCTAAGAATAAGCTCTGCATCCGAAGTTCGGCATTCTCTTGTCTGCGATGTCATGACCTTCGTCCGACCAATTCCAGGCTTCTCAACCCTAAACCCTAAGCCCTCAGAAGTATTTGTGGAGTGCTCTGTTAAGGCTTCTACCTGAACTGCATGACACAGCTCCTGGGCGCTTGCTACAGTAGGGTTTTCACTTTGGTTAGTAGGGAATGGAAGAATGGTAGTAATAGTAGTTATAATTGTACCCCATTCCTCCATTCCCTTCTAACCCAAGGTAAGTTTAGGGCAGAAGAGGGCTGAATGGCTGAGGCTTGAGGTCTCTCGTGCTCGGTTTTATACGGTTTCACAGTAGGGTCTTGCAAGCAATGTTGAAAGGTGTTGATGCAACACTACGGTACAAGAGTCGGAACAGTCCGTAAGTTTCTATCGTATACCACTGAGACTCTACTTCAGTTTTTTCAGACCCCTGTAGTGGTTCAGGGTTCGGCTTTTGGCTTCAGGGTTTAGGGTTGAAGCTTCAGGGTGTGGGGTCAGGTTCAGCTCAATTGCAAGCCCTACGCCCAACCTGTATAGCCGAAAAATGATTGCTCATTATGGCTTGCGCATACTATTCCGCAAACAGGTAAGTTTTTCGTGGGCCACGCTTCTTCTTTTCTCAAGCCCTAGGCTGTCAACCCTAGACCCTCACATTCAGACTTCATGGTTTCAAAGGCTGAAGAGTTTAGGGCTTTCTGCTTTAAGTGTTTACGGATTCGCGGTTCGCGGACCTGAGAGCTCAGGGTCTGTTTTGGGTTTATGGAGTTTAAGAGTTTAGGGTCTATAGGAATTAGAAACCCTCTACTTAGATCTCTTCACACCGACATCCTCCAGGCAATGCCACGACCACCCAGAATCAGACAACAAACCACTTAGCCGAGACTGGATCAGGCCTTCGGCTTGCTTTTTGCTTTTATTCTGCTCCTTCCCCAAGGGTCCACTCACCCAATAGTCATATACTCTCCCAAATCCTAACCTACATAACTACAACCATAAAACCGAGTACCTGATTACTGGGTCCTTTGGAACCTGGAGGTTTGGCTTCAGGGGTTGTGTCTTTGGGGGACGGGCTTTCAGAGCCCTTGAGGTTGGCTTACCCCAAACTAGGGACCCCAAAAAGCACCTAAGCACAAGCATTTTGCCGAGATATCCCAAGCTTATTGGGCTTCTGTTTAAGGGGTGTTTATATGGGATATCCCTATCCTAATTTTTGCTTATGTGCTTTTCTGGGATCCTATACACCCTAACTAAACCCCGTAAGCCCAAAACCCGAAGTCCAAAACCCTAAAACCCTGAACCCGAAACCCAAAACTTAAAACCCAAAACTCTAGGCCCAAAACCCGAAGCCCGAAACCCTAATCCCCTAAACCCTAAACCCCTAGGCCCTGAAGTCTCATGGGGAGGTTGGCCTACGGCCTCTTCTTGCCGGTGCCCCCTGTGGTGCCCTGCAATGCCTATGGCGTCGCCGTGGGGCTGGTCAGTCCCTCTGCAGGTTGACAGGGGGTTTGGGGTCCAGGGTTCAGAAATCAGGGTTCAAAGATCACAGTTAGGGTTTAGGGTTCAGGGATTTTTAGTTTGGGGTTTAGGGTTCAGAGTTCGGCATTTAGGGTTCAGGGTTTATGGTTTAGAGTGCTTAGACGTCCGGGGTTTGAGGTTCAGGGTTCAGTAGACGTCCGGGGTTTGAGGTTCAGGGTTCAGAGTTCAGGGTGCAGTTCAGGGTGTAGTATTTAGGGTTCAGAACTTTGGGTTTAGGGTTCAGAGTTCGGCGTTCAGGGTTTAGAGTTGAATTCGTGACTCCGAAGCTTTCGTGAAGGTTTTCGGGTTTTACGGGTTTGGGGTTTCGGGTTTAGGGTTCAGGCTTTAAGGGTTTAGGGGTTTAGTGAATTTAGGGTCCGCCAGCGCAATCAAGGTACGTCAGTTTGCTGGTGGTTCGCCCGGAAAGAGGCGTGTGGGCCGCAGCTTACCCTGAACCCTACACTTTCGGATCAGGGGGAACGATCGGGCTAAAAGGTTTAGGAATTCTAGGGGTTCCGGGGCCCTCAGGCTTAGGACCTTGGGCTAGGGGTTTTCGGTATCCCAGAATGGCCCTTAGGCCCTTTTGCACTGTTTGTGTTGAGGGTTTGCAAAACGCCCCAATGCCCCTACATTCCGAACCCTAAAACCCTATAGCCCCAACCCTAAACCCAGGGGTCTAAAGGACCCAATAATCAGGTACTCGGTTTTGGGATAGTAGTTACGTAGGTTAGGGTTTTGGATAGTATCTGATTTTCAGGTACTTGGACCCTTGGGGTAAACCCAGGGTTATCATCCCTGAAGGATTCGGGTCCAAGCCCAAGCTGATGGAGAGCAGGTTTAGGCTTGTAGCTCACATACTTTGACGATGTACTTGATTTTCAGGTTTCGGTTTCAGGACTTAGGGCTTAGGGTTAGGATTCAGAGTGGCAGCGCAGATGAGTTCAGGATGTGTTTGCTTGCAGTTTCTGGGCTATGCAGGCTCTATGATCGTCTTGCAGCATTGCATGATTTGCGACGCCAGAACGTGAAAGCGGCCGTGAGTGACACTGGCAATTTTGGAGATTTTTCTCCCGAAGCCCTAAGCTATCCTACTCTCTATCTAGACACTGAATTCCAGTGTCTGGTCTTGCTTGCCGAAAAGGTACTGCAATGAAGGTCTAGGGAACCCCAAGCCCGAAAGTCTGAAGCCTAATCCTCAACCCTCTAGCTTAACCTGCCAAACCCTCATTTTTTTGTAGGTTCTTAGTATGAACCCTAATATGGAATTTATAGGGACCCTACAAAAAGGTAGGTTTTGGTAGGTTAAGGTATATCCTAAGCCATCAACCCTGAAGGTCCATGCCGACCACTGGAATCGACGTGCGGCAGTTGGCACCTTCTGTGTCGCTATGCCCTCCGTCTGAATTTCGGTTTCATTTGCCGGTAGCAGTTAGGGTTTGGCGACTGGGTGTAGGGTGGTTGCGTAGCTGCTATAGCCACTCCGCAGCGCCACTACGACTGCGAATCATCCTCTGACCCATTTTCTTTTTGGGCTCGACTGTTTAATTACTAGTTTACTGCTCGAGCCCGTCTGCTGATGGTTCGGAGAGCTTTTTCATTAAGTTATAGTGGCTCATAAGGTCTGCTCAACATGTACTTCCGTTGCTGCTGCAGTGGTCCTCGAATGCTGGACATCTTAGCTTGTGGAATCGGGTGGGAAGAGCTGGTTAGCAAAAGCATTGAAAGATAAGACTACCCATAGGCCCCAAAGTAGTGCCTTTATCGGATTACCTTCTAGGGTTCTATTTATGAACCCCCAAAAATTAAAGAGGGGCTACTTTGGGGTCTTAGGGTAGTGATGTGGGGTCCTAAACTGCGAAACCCCCTTGGGCCACGGCCTCCCAAACTCCACCTCGAGCCACTCCGGCAATGCAGTTTTCCGGTGGGGTCATCTGCGGATAGGACCGGACCCAAGAGCACGACATGCGAGGGGGGGGGGGGGGTAGGAATCATGTAGGGATTTAGGGTTTGTTTGTGCTTCGGATCCCCACACAAAAGACATAAGGTTACCGAAAAAGCAACCACAACGGAAACTGAAGGTGCACCTCAGACCCTAAACCCTTAAACTCTAAACCCCTAAACCCCTAAACCCCAAACCCAAAACCCCTAAACCCTAAACCCTAAACCCCAAGCCCTAAACCCTAAGCCCAAAACCAGGCCTTGATTCTAAGTTGAAACAGATGGTTGCTGCTTGCTGTGGCGGTGGTGCTCCTGGAGCTGATGCCGAGACCATAAATCCTAAACCCCTGAACCCTACTCTTACCTTTGGTTAGTAGGGAATGGAAGAATGGTAGTAGTAGTAGTTATAACAATACCCCATTCCTCCATTCCCTACTAACCAAAGGTAAGTACTTGGAGGTTCAAGGGTAGTTACCCGAAGTCCTAAGCACTCAAGAATCAGGTACTTGGGATAATAGGAGTGTAGGTTACTGTTTTGGAGAGTATATGATAATTAGGGACTTGGACCCTTGGGGCTATAAGTCGGGTTATAAGTTATAAGTACCCTAATATGGGTCGTGCTTCTAGTTACCTTACCTATAATACCCGCACTTATAACTACCCATGAACCTCCAAGCAAGCCTTAGGCCCCTAGACCTTGGACTTGAGCCATCTGAACTTTGTCTTACAAGTAGGCCTTGTTCTCAAACGTCTAGTTTCGCGGCATTTTGTTGGGTTACTGGTGCCGGATGAGGATGAAGATGACGCTATCTGCGCTTGTTAAGCACAAAACTTGTAGAGTCTACGCGACGTAGCAGGCTTTCTCTACGCAAACCCTTGAAATGCTGGCAAACCTTCGAAAGCACTTGAGCAGCAGCTCGTATTCTCAACCGTTTCGGACCGTACACCCACGTATCAACTCCACTGCAAGTCCTTTTCTGGTTGCCTTATAGGGTCCTTAGTAAGAGTCCGGTTGAACAAAAACAGGAACTGCGATTGAGACGATAGGAACCCCTAAACCCCTAAGGCCCTTAACACCTAAACCCCTCAACCCTAAAGCGCTAAACTCCCCAAACTGTCAACAGGCTCTCTTTGCTCATCTTCGCCTGTGCGGCGATGGTTCCCGGCGGAGCAGCAGCGGTGGGCAACCTAGGAATGCGCCTTGCCTTCCCGAGGGCTCTAGTTGCTTTTTTCCGGGCCTTATGGTTTCAGAAGGGTTTACAGAGCGTATAGGGCTCAAGTCTATGGTTCGGAGGCTTGATCTTAGGGTGTTCTTGGGTTGTGTCAAGCTTGAAATACTTTGGGTTGGGAGGCAGGGGGGGGGTCGCAAACTTGAAGCCCTTAGGGTGCATGGACTTGTTTGGGCCCTGCTGCGCGAGTGTAACCCTATCTGCCTAACTTTTGAACCCTCGACAGAGAAGAGCCCCTTGCATGAAGGAACTGTGGCTTAACATTCGTTCTATCTTTGTTCTTAGGCCCCCCACTCCCCGTGCTACTGAGGCTGGTTGGCATCATCATGTGCTCCGCCGAAGAGATTTCCAGTTGTGTTGTAAGGGCTAGGGGTGTTTAGGGGGCGTTGAGGGTTTTGCAGCAGGAGTCTTTTGCCGGGTTCCTGAGTAGCGCCCTTTTGCCCTTTTTATTTCAGGGCCCCCTTATTAAACCGAAACCGAATAGTAAAGGGTAGCCTTGTTATAAGTAAGGGGCTGCTCAGGAACTCTCTTGTCCGAGAGTGCCAATGCATCATACAAGAGATCCGTATGAAGGATCCTAGCTGCAGCAATCGCTTTTGAGAGACTTCCTTGACTCGTAGACTTTTTGAGTTTCGGCATGGTGGTTCTCCACTCTAATCATACTCTATGTTTATGATGCTGCAAAATACCCCAGCCAAAACCAGGTTCAATCTGCCGAGGCTGTTAAGGCCTCCTTCGCGTTCAAGCCCTAAGACCCCGTATGCGCTTAATCATCTCCCACTCCGCCGTCCCTGTGCGCCACGGCACCGAGAAAATCATTGAAGAGACCTAGGACTTTTCAAGCATATCCTTAGGAGGGTTTGGTGTTTCCAGGATTGAGCCCTAATCCCAAAGTCTAAACCCTAAACCCCTAAACCTTAAATCCCATTCAGAAATCACCTTGAGCCGGACAGAGAGGTACGGTGCTCCCCTCTCCAGTCTGCAAGAGGTCCTGAGGCGTCCTGCCTTTGGGGTTTGGGATTTCAGCTTTAGGGTTGAGGCTGGGGTTTTGAAGGGCTGCAGGGACTGAGGGCTACAGGAGATTATTTTTGGTTAATAAAGAGACCATACCAGGGATACATAGTACGTGCCATACCTGCATTATGATGGTGTTATTTTGCAAAAGCTAAAGCTAAAGCTCATCTTTCTGGTGGTTGCTTCAGGCTCTTGGAAGGTCTTCGGGCAGTTGCCGGTGAGGAGTGTGTGTCGGGAGTTACTCGAGAGCCATTGTGTCGCTGAGCTTGTTTGTCTTTGACCTGCTTGATTGACTTCGGCGCTGAGTACTTGGGACAGGGCTTTCGGCAATATTGTCGCAGACACATATACAGAGATTTACGTTGTAGTGGTATGCCTTCACGACCTTATCCGTTCTGCCATACTGACCCTTAAACGGAGATCGGATGACTTACGTTGTCGTTCTCATTCCCTAACCGCCACACCTCAAATCCTCACTCCGGGAGTTTCACATGGTACGGTCCAGACCCAAAACCTGGATGAGGTGCCCCCACCTCTCTCCCTCTGCATATAAATGCTTATGCGCACACACACACACACACACAAAATACTTTATCAGTGTACATACTTGTATAATGCAATACAAATGTGTGTTTGTGTGTATATATATATATATATAGACGCATATACAAATACATGTACAGGCGTGTGTATATGTATATATATATATATATATATACACACACATGTATGTTTGTGTCTTCAGAAGCGACAGACCGACAGCTGGCGTTGCAAACAATGAGGGATCCTAATTGTAAATGTAAAGAAGGTGCAACTCTAATTTCAGCACACCCCACAGGCACACCCCCCCCCCCTCCCCTCCTCCTTCAAAACGCGCGCTGCGTAATGACGCCCGAAGCCAAGAGTGCCTCTCTAATCCGAAACCCTAAACCTCACGAGCCCTTACTTAGAATCCCTGAGACCCTAAACCCGAAACAAGCAATCCCAAAGGGTCCAAGAATCAGTATAGTACATACTCTGGGGCCCCAAACATCTACTAAGAGCTTACTGTATTGGTACTTGGGCCGTTTGGCAGTAATGATACCCTAAACCCCTAAACCCTATAACCCCCTAAACCCTAAACCCTGTAAGCCTTAAGGCACCTTTTAGAAACACGTTAGCCTGTATAGTGGCCCTTATAGACCCCTTCAAAGGAACCTATCTTTAAGGCATTTTAGAAACCACGGTGGAGGACGGAATCCTCCGAGACGCTTCCGGTTCTTCAGAGCTTCCTGGGCTTCTTGAACAGCTCCTGCCGCTCGGCTTTCGAGTTGAGGGTTTAGGGCTTTTGGTTTAGCGTTTCAGAGTTTCGGATTTAGAGTTTAGGATTTAGAGTATAAGACTTAGATTTTAGGGTTTAGAGTATAGGATGTAGAGTTCAGGGTTTAGAGTTAGGGGTATAGGGTTTATGGTTTAGAGCTGTCAAGGTATAGGGGGTAGGGTATAGGGTTCAGGTTCGGGGTGTCGGGCGTAGCGTTTAGGGTGTAGGGTTTAGTGTGCAATGTTTAGGGTCTAGTGTAAAATGCTTAGGGTTTAGCATGTAGGGCTTAGGGTTCGGATTGGGCGGGGGGAGCCTTGCAGTGTGTCGTGTTTCGTGTGTCCTGAGTTTTTTAGGCCCTATAGTTGCTGTTTGTCCTTGTTGGCGGCTTGTTGTCGTAGTTTGGGTTCACTATTCTAGGATTTTGTGTCTAGGCTCTCGAAGTTCGGGTACACCCTAAAACCTAAACCCTGAACCTCAACCGCTTTTTCAGCTCAGGCTGGTTGACAGTCGGCCTTCGTAGCGGGAAGCTGCCTGTGTGGGGGCCAAACGTCATCGGCATGCTGCTGCATCTTGGATGCGATCTCGGCATACCCATGTGTGATGGCTTCAAGTCTTTGGTCTTCTTGATCCTGACTGTTGTGTCGAACAATATACGTGGTTTTGTAATGAGAATGCCTTTTCGGTGCCGCATTCCATGAACGTTTTTCATAGTAAATCAGAAGTTTCTGTCCGCGGACCGCCAGGTTCGCAGCAAAAACGGTTTGTGGAAAACAGAACCCGGAACCACACTAGCAACAAGCAGCATGGAACACAAAAAAGCAGTTCCCATGGTGTTTTAACCCATGTATTGGGTCCGCATTTATGATGGATCGGGGGGCCGGTAAGAAGGCTGTGAAGCCAGGCGTGGACGAGGAGGGGGAGGAGGGAGGAGTGCGGTGGGGAGGACGGCAAAAAAGGGGGCCAGTGCGCCAGATAAGGACAGGAACAGGAAAGGAGAAGAGTGGGGAGGGCAGGCATGGAAGAGGAGGGAGAGGAAGTGAGGAAGGAGAGGGAGGACGGCAAGAGGGAGGCCTGTCCGAAAGGAACAGGAAAGGGGAAGAGTCGGCCGAAATCGCTTAAATTTTATTGCTGGAGCCCTGGCCTTTTACTCCAGAATCCTTGTTTTATTGACTGCCCGGCCCCTTCAAACGGGAAATGGCTCAAATTTAATCCCCGACCGATCATGATGATCCACTGTTGGGCTTCCAGTTTGCACACCGTGACACCCAAAGCTCAGCACCTCCCCTCAGCCCCATGTACCTCTATGGTATATAACATATTCAGGTCTTAAAGTCGCAACTAGTGATTACTCCAAGGCCTAAGTATATACTATATAGGTACATGGAGCCTAGGGGTTCCAACCCTCAGGTCTTTGGTGCAGCTCGCACTGATCTACAGGTACCCGGCGAAGCCAGCGGCTTCGGCCGCAGGTTAAGCTTTGTAGTTAGGGCTTTCGGGTGCCTGTCAGCTGGCGACACCGTCGACGACCGCTTTTCCGAGTGTCTTCTCGTGGTTCTGGGTTCACACTGAATCATTGCTAGAAGAGTTTGTTTGCGGGCTTGGAGTGTTTGGCTGAACATGTTGTTGATCGGTGTGCTCCTGCTTTTGTTCGTCCTGTGCTTGTGGAACCAGAGGCTACGCAAACTTATGACACCAAGCTAAGTGCCATTCGCTACACCACAGCGATGGACCGCCAACAAGAGCAAATCCAACTGAGTCCGTTCCGACATGAAGTGCTTTCGCCGGGTTCGACACTGGCGAAGATCCGCCAAGAAACCCGCTTTGATCAACCTCAGCTTACAGGATGATCAGGCCCAGATGTGAGTCCAGGCATCTCATGGGTCCCTAATGGTCCCTAGGCCTCAACCCCATGACCATCAGGGCCCGAAGCCCCAATCCCAAACCCCCAACCCCATACTCGGCCCCGAAGACTCAATTCGAGGCACTAAACCCTAGTAATGGTAGTAGGTCCCAGGCCTCAGTGCTAAGCAGGCTGGAATCCTGCATCCTTCAGCCCTGCATCGGTTCTTGAGATCAGGTAGGGTTTGAGGTTTCGGATTTTGGGTTAATGTAGGGTTTAGGGCTTAGGATTTAGCGCTTGGGATTTAGGACTACGGTTCAGGGTTTAAGGTTTAGAGGTTTTCGGCGGCTGCCCAGCCATGGCATGCTGCGGGGCAGCGGAGTTGACACCATTGGCTCAGCATGCCAAAGCGACTATGTCTCCCAGTAGGCCTTTTTTCCTTTTCTCATTCCTGTTTTGCGGTCGTGGGTTGTTCAGAAACTTGAATCTACCCAATCCTAGGCAATCAAGCGCGGCCTTGTTGGTGGAGTGCCAGAGACCATCATGCACTTCCCTATGTACACGGTGCCTCTGGCCAAGTTGCTTGAGATGACCGAGACTTTGTCATGTTTGGATAGCATTTTCCGTTTTTTGAATATGTAATTAGGCACAAGCAGGAATACAAATTTAGATTGTTTACTACTCAACCATGAACTAGGAGATTGAGCCACATGAAGTGTTGATGGAGAAGGATGTATTGGTTGAGTTCCGAAGGAGCCGTGGCAATGCACTTTTTGTTTCACACCAGTGGATCGAGAAAGGTCATCCTGACCCAGACTGCAAACAGTTTCGGGTCTTACAGGAAGCCTTCAAAAAAGTGCTTGCCGGACACTGGCAAGAGATACCTGTGGATTTTGCCTCTGAAGGTGCAGGCATGGGCAAGCCGTTGCCTATAGGCAAACTTCTTTCCGCGCCTCTCTTTTTTTGGTATGACTACTTTTCCTGCCCACAAGCAGCAGAATCCAGAAGCAAACTGCGGGATGCCACCAGCAGCATCCCAGCCTATGTGGGCGAGTGCCAATTTTTCCTTGCCCTGGTGCCAGTCTCTTGCTTAGCCGATGGAAGATTTTTCTCAACAAGTGTTCAGGCTTACCTATTTAGCTTCTTTTTCTATTTTAGAAAGTGTGGGATTTTTGGGTCCGGTAGTTATTGAAGAAGCGAGGTCTTGGAGGATCGAAGCAGGACCAATGTGATTTCTCCGCTGACTTGGCACCAGCGGGGCTGGTGTCGTATGGAGAGAACTTGCAGAGAGCTCTCTGAAAATCCTGACTGGGTCCTCGTGAAAGGCACATTGGAGTTTCCGAAAATGGGGGACCCCAACATAGTACCCCAAATAGTCCTCATTATATATCAGGATCCCCAAATAATGTACCCCTAACCCGAAACCCGAAACCCCAAAACCCTAAACCCCAAAACCCAAAACCCAAAACCCTAAACCCAAAAACCTTAAACCCTAAACCCATACAGGCACGTCGGACTTGACAGTCATCAGGGGTGCCTTGGTGTCTGTTCGAGCGGGCTCCGGACCTGTGGGAGAAGGTGCTTTTAGCATTGAGGAAGATCGAGAACAAGTGGGAGAAGCTCTTGTGATGGCTTTGAGACGCAAGTTGCTCAGCCTCCTCAAAGCCCAGGTTTTTTCTGGGTACCGTGCTCTATTGAGCCAGCAGCCTATGCTGTTGAGGGGCTTGAAATGTGATCTGTTCGAGCCAGTCCCGGTCTTAGAGGACGTTGGTGATATCGCCAGGCGTTTCTTCTGCCAGAACGGTTTCCGCAGCATTCAAGACGTCGACAATCGTGGCTGGATGCCTCTGCACTATGCTGCCGTGTGCGGAGATGGAGCGCTGGTGCAAAGCTTGCTCGCGCTTGAAGCTGACCCCAATCAGCCCACCCAGAAAGCAAATCCATCTTTGGGCCTCGAGGCAAGAGTACTGCCTCTCAGCCTCTCGTGCTTCTTTGGGCACAATGATGTGGTGCAGCTCTTGATCTCTGGCAAGTCCACGTTGATTAGCAAAGCGATGGTTTACCGGCCTCTCCACTCTGCAGCTGGTGCTGGCAACAAAGATGCCGTCCGCATGCTCTGTGAGGCTAGCTGCCGGCTGGAGTACAACAGCCTGGGTTTAAGTGCCCTTCAAGCTGCCTCTTTTCAACCAGCAGTTGAGGTAGGTCATAGATGAGCTCCTCGGTCATGCAAGGGCGGCTTCCCTGGATGCTTCTGAAGGTCTTTACTATGCGGTGCTGGGTTTTGCAGGTTCTGAAATGATATACCGATTGGTCGAGATGAAGGCAGATGTGAATATTCAATCAGACCAACACTGGAGGCGCACGCCTTTGGTGCGAGCAGTGTACCTGGCAAAGTATTTGCAGCATCGTTTTTACAAAGCCACCCCTCTTTCCCAGTGCTGTTACCATGCACAGCGCGCCACGCCTTTGATGTTCGCCATACTGAACAGCAACCATGAATGTGCTGCAGCTCTCATAGCTTCCGGGGCACGTCTTGACCTGCGGAATTGGCGGGGGTACACGGCTGCCGACTTAGCAAGGCACCATCTCTTGCCAGAATTCCTGAAAGAGGCTTTCGAGGGCCGGGTGGAGGCGTGCCGAAGGGTGGCTTTGCTGGCGCGTGGTTTCGTCGAGGTGTCTCATGTCTGAGACGGCAAGAAGTGAGCACGTGTCTGTGAGTGAAGCAGTTTTGGTTTTAAGCTGTCCCCAAAGGGTCCAAGCATCAGTATAGTACATACGTTTGGGCCCCGAATATCTTCTAAGAGCTTACTATTTTGGTACTTGGGCCGTTTGGGGTATAAGGAACAAGTTCGCGCAGTTTCACAAAGCGTTGAAATCGCGAAGGCAATGTCACCTGTGCCACGTCAGCTGCTGCGACTGACAGTTTCTTCTCTAGGTGGCACTTTAGGAACCTTGGAGGTACCTGTTAATAAACACGTTTGAGGGCCCTCAAAGCTACCACCCAGAAAAGCCTTACTTCATTCTCTTCCCCTGACTGAGCTGTAGATCCGGGGCATTGTCTTCACTCCCTTCTGGGGCGTGGCGTACGGTAGGGGCCTAAGTAATTGACTGCCTTGGTGGTTCCCTATCACACTTACAGTACAGTATACCACAAAACCCTATTCTAATTATTAAGGCACCTACACTATAAAACTTTACTGATAGATCCCTCTAGCTACACTATAAAACCCTACTATAGATCCCTTATAACTCCCTTTAAAAGAAGCTTATTCTAATTCTCAAGGCCCCTACATTCGCCAGACCCTGCAGTGCCGGGCTTTGACCATCTCTGCCCGACTGCGCCAGGGGAGCGGTGTAGCCGCATCCCATGTTGCCGGGTCCTTCGACTCCTGGGTGAGTTTTCCTGGGTTCTTGCTAAAGGGTTAGTTTAAGTTACTTTAATAGGGATCTCTAGTAAACTTAACATGGGCTTCTTCATTAATATCGTAACTTCGGATTTATATTAAATCCCCGAGCCGGAACCCAGTTTCAATCCGCATGCCTTAAGGGATGTGGATTTCCACCCGGACACTACAGCTTCCGCGGAGGGCCCGAACTGCGGCGTCACATCTGTTCGAGATGGAGACTATAGGCGGTTTGGCGGTTTTAGGGTTTAGGGTTTAGGGGTGTTTGCAGATGCAGAACGTTTTTGGTCAGTCTGAGTGTTTTTCAGTTAGGTTCAGGTATTGTCTAAGGGTTTGGCTATCCGCTTCCGAACTTCACGCCTGTCCTGTCTCGGGGGAATACACCGGCGATACAAGGTGTGATTCAAGAAGGAGCTCAAGACTCCCAAGCCTTATTCCTGCAATTACATATCGAAGCCCATCTGAAGGGCTCGTTCAAGGAGAACTCCATCAATAGAATTCTCAAGCCCCTCCCCTCACCCATTTAGAAACCAAGATCGAATCCGCGTGGAACAACAATGCCCCTTGCAGGAACTCTAAACCCTACTCCCGAACTCCCTCACCCACCAAGCCTTGGGCTCCAAACCGTTCCCCCAGGACGGTTTAGGGTTTAGGGTTTACAGGTTTAGGGTTTAGGGTCTGCCTGAGCCTCTTCGAAGGGTCTGAATTGATTAGACATAGTATTACCCTTACCGGCAATACCGAGGCAGCTAAGTGAAAACCCTGCTAGGGCCTATACTATAGAACTCTTATTCTAAACCACAGAAAGGATCCTGCAAAAAGAACCCCTTTAAGGGCCCTCAGAACCGCCCCTTTTATAAAAGAGACTTAAACTTCAAGCCCTGAACCCTAGTCCTTCTCCGAGCTGAACCCTCCAGGAGAAGCTCTAGAAGCCCTAAGCCGAAACCCTAAAACAGTGCACGCCTCTAGAGAGAGGTGGAGCATTGACGCAAGGAGAAGGCCACTGCATGAAAACACAAATCCAACAACCCTCTTAACCCTAAACCCAAACACTTAGAAACCCTAGAAGCCCTAAAAAGCCCTCTTAACCCTAAACCCAAACCCCTATAAATAAACCCTATAAACCCTAAACCCAAACCCCTATGAATAAACCCTATAAGCCCTAAACCCCTATAAACCCCTATAAACCCTATACACCCTATCAGCCCTAAGACCTATAGGAGAAGTCCATCGACGAGGAGTTCTTCATTCCAGTGCTCTCGGACCGACTTTCCTGGGCGGTGGTCTGAGAGCCATCGAAGGGCTTTTCGGTGTCATTTTCAATTTTTAAGACCCTGGTACTACGGTTGATGATATAAATCCTGCATTACCTTATAAGGACCCTAAACTATGGGATGTATGGTATATTCCATATGATGGGTAGTTGAGTTATATATCATCAACCGTAATTTAGGGCTTAGGGGTTCTAGGGGTTCTGGGGTTCTACGGTTTAGGGTTTGGGGTATAGGGTTTAGGGTGGTAGGGTTCTGGCCGAAGCGATTCCGTCGGGGCTTGAGCATTTTGTTGGTTAATGTTTTGGCGCTTAGCCTAAGCCCTAAACCCTATAATTGCTAAACGCCAAAAGGTCTGCAGAGCTATAGGGGTGGGCTGTCGGGTTGCATTCCTAAACCAACAGTACTAGCATAGGGCATGCGGCGTTAAAAGCTATGGACATCGGAATCGAGCTCGTTTTGGGGGAGTTTCAGACACTTATACACCCCACATCCTTACATAATTGGACCTTGAATTAAACCCCTAACCCTCCCAAAGGCCCGGAGGCCCTTGACTTGCAGTAGAACTCCCTTGCAGACGTTCGCCGAACGTCTCATTACGGAACCCTTGCGATCCCTCTACTGACCCCACATCTTGAAACCTAAATCCCAAAACCCAAGCCGCTAATGCCCTAGACTCTCAGGTAGGGTGACAACTACGGAACACTCTATCAAACAACCCAAAACCCCAAACCCTAATAACATCTCTTGCAGGAGCACTCCCTCGCAGACATTCTCCGTGATGCCACGGGGGAGTTCGCAGAGTCGATGGTTGACGCTTTGCTTGTGACAAGCTGTACCAAAAGCCCTTTAGGCTTAGGGCTTTGGAGTTTAGGGTCTTTGCTAAACCCTGCAACTCTGTCAAACCATAAAGTCCTGAAGGTTTAAAGCCCCGAATGCTTTCTAGCACCCTTATGAAACCCCGGTAGAACCCATATAAAGCCCTCGAGGGATCCCTGCAACCGTAAAGAAAGCTGTCAAGCTTAATCCTTCATGTGCCAAGCCATTGACTTGCAAAGCCCGGAAAGCCTCAGAACTCCGAAGCAGCAAAACGACTTTCAACCCCTCCCAAACACCCTTCCAAGAAGCCTGAATCTTCAAAAAGGTGCTTTCCGCTCATGGAACAACCCAAAGCTGTACTCGCCCAAGGAACCCCCAAACCCTTCTGAACCCTAAAGCCCCCGAAAGATACGGTTTTCAACTCACGGAGAAGCCCCAAACCTGTAGTACTCGTGCCCACCCTAAAGGAACCCGTGAATACTCCTCTAAAGCCGTAAACCATCAAACCTTTAATTAAAGGAATCTCTTTAAAGGAATTCCTTTACAGGAGTCCTTCAAAGTACCGCTTCAAGGAACCCCTTAAGGGATACCTCAAAGGAGCCCTTAAAGAAATCCCGAAGCTTTTAAAGGAGCCCTTAAATTGACCCTGAAGAATCCCTTAAAGAAAGCCTTTCATCAGGAACCCTTAAAAGCCCCAAGGGTCCAACTACCCAATTATCATAAACTCTCCAAAAACCCTAACCTACAGAACTACTATCCTAAAACCGAGTACTTGATTATTGGGTCCTTTGGACCCTTGGGGAAAGATAAAAAAACAAGACGGATCTTCCCAAAGGAAACCAGCCACGGTCTTGGCGACTTCGTGCGGAAGTCCAGTCAGGTGGACTTAGGGTTACAGTAGAAGCCAGAAAGTTGAACATCAGTAGCCTCGTGCACTTAAAGCAAAGTATAGGGAATGCCCGCATGAATCATCCTAAATCCATGTTCCAACTTTCTGGGGTTCACTATAAGGGCCTGGGGTATAGGGTCTTGGGGTTCAGGGTTTGGGGTTTAGGGTCTTGGGGTTCAGGGGTTAGGGTTTATTAGAGTTTAGGGTTTGCGATTGGGGTTTAAAGAGTGTTTGGGTTTAGTGGTTCAGAGTTTAGAGATAGTATTCCCGAGGGATCCTTGTCAAGTCCAGTGATGCTGTTTTTTGGTATATGCAAAACTCGCATGCCATAATTGACCCCGAACAGCGATAGAGAGCATGTAGAAGTCCAGGACCTGCACCCAAGAAAAAAGACAGAAGCACCTCTTCAACATGCCTCCGGACCGCAGCAACCAAGTCCCTTTACTGTGAACGTAAGGGCACCCGTATTTTCAAGGGGCTACTGGGGACACCCACAAACCCTCAGCCCCTAACCGAAAAGCCCTAGGCGATCAAAGACCCAGAACCGAATCCGGCAGCGTCTCTTTGTGTTTGGAACAGAGGCGTCTCGAGGCTTACATGAGGCACAACCGTCTTGGATAACAGCACTTCTTATGTTTATGTGCTTTTGGGTTTTAGGGTGCTTGCCCTTGGTCCGAAACGCTGCCCTGCGGTAAACCCGGGTGTTGTGTTTTGGGGCATTAGGGGTGACAGGTCTATCGGTTTCGCAAAAAGAGAGAATGTTTTTCATGTACTTGAGAAGGTTTTCCAGGCTTAGACGTAGCAGGGCCCTATTTATATGGTATAGACTC